CTAATTCTGGATGAGGGCTTTAGCCTGAGCCGGACTTACCTCTATCCCTCTTTTATTCACTATGTGGCTAAGGAATTGACTTGATGATACCATGAAGGAGCACTTAGATGGATTCAACTTCATGTTGTACTTCTTCAAAGTATTGAAAACTTCTTGTAGATGCTTCGGATGATCTTCTTTCTTCACACTTTTAACCACCATGTCATCTATATATGCTTCAACTGTTTTTCCTAGCAGATTATCGAATATCTTGTTGACAAGGCGTTGATAAGTAGCTCCAGCATTCTTCAGTCCGAAGGGCATGACCCTGTAACAATAAGTCCCCTTTTCTGTAATAAAAGCCGTTTTTTCTTCATCTTCGGGGTCCATAGGAATCTGATTGTATCCCGAGTATGCATCTAGGAATGTCAACCCCTCGTAGCCGGTGGTAGCATCAACCATCTGGTCTATCTTGGGCAGAGGGTAGCTATCTTTAGGGCAGGCTTTGTTGAGGTTGGTATAATCTACACAAACCTTCCACTTTCCATTCTTCTTTTGTACGACTACCACGTTCGATAACCACTGCGGATATTGTACTTCTCGAATGAAACCTGCTTGCAATAATTTGTTTACTTCTTCAGCTATAATGCGATTGCGTTCAGGGGCAAACCTTCGGTGTTTCTGCTTGATCGGTTTGAACTCCGGATCCACCTTCAGGCTATGGCAGGAAACTGTGGGATCGATCCCTACCATGTCCGAGTGATCCCATGCAAAGGCATCTGCATTGCTCCGGATAACATCAATTAATGCCTCCTTTTCTTCGGATGTGGAAGAAGAGCCTAGATAAGTAACCTTCTGAGGGTTGCCGAAGATAACTTCCACGGCTTCGAGGGTCTCCTCGGTGGGCTTCGCAATTTCCTCTTCCTCATTTCCCTTAAGATACTTGGGCAGTGGGCTCTGTAATTGCTATTTGGGTCCAGTTTTGGAAGCCTCACCTGGTTGCTGTTGAGTCGACATCCTCTTCGCCTCAACCGTGTCAGCATATAGCATTCCTTCGTTGCGACTTGATCGCCCCACAGATTAATTACTTCTTTCCCGTCCGGAGATAAGCACCGCATCACCTGGTGGAGGGTGGACGGAACTCCTCTCATCCGATATATCCAACCTCTTCCCATGATGAGATTGTAAGAAGGATAGATCTCTGTTAAAACAAAGTTCTCCTTCAGAGTCCTCTTCGCCGCGGTTACGGACAAGTCTATTACTCCAAGGAGATCTACTCTTGTGCCATCGAATCCCATCAACGGGCTGGAGGTAGGTCGAATAGATGATGACGTGATCTCTAACTGATCAAAGATCGTCTTTGTGATTATGTTAGTGCTACTTCCTGGATCTACCAAAACCCTCCTGATTATACAATTGGCCACTAAAAGACTGATGACCAATGGATCCTCGTGGGAGAGTTGCACTCTGGATAGGTCGCCATCTCCGAATCTAATACTAATGCTACCAGAATTGATAGCATTGACCGATGATATCTTCCTGAGATTGTGGGTTGCCCTCAATCTGGACCTGTACACCTCCTCGGACTCTTGATCATCTTTAGACCTGCCATGTATTGCATGGATGACTTTTACTTACGTACCTTCTACCTTACGGGGATAGACCTCGCGGGGCTTTGCATGCTCCTTTGTCATGAGCTAATCCGTCAACTCACCTCTGGCGATCATATTCTCCACCTATTGCCTAAGGGATCGGCAATCGTTGGTTGAATGTCCATAATCTCAATGATGAGCGCAATGCTTTCTTTTGTCCTTTTGCTCCAGGGGTTGCTTTATTGACTGCGGAGTTGTGAACTTCGTCTTATTCTCTTGGAAGAGCCGAGCCAAGGTAGTTCGAAGAGGTGTAAATCCTTCCTTTACCCTTTGCCTTTTTTCAGGTGCCTGGGTGACTGGCGTTGAGGAACGTTATCTTTTTTGAATCTTTGGAGTTGGGATTCTTTCTCGAGGCTTGTTTTCCACTATCACGACGGTAGCGTGCTGCGCTCGGTAGGCTATATTTTCCTCAAGCCGAATGTAGATCTGGGCTCTGGCATTTAGAGTCTGCACGTCGGGAGGAGAATACTTGACTAGGGAAGTGTGGAACTTCGTCCCCTGAATCATTGCGAGTTTAAATGTCTCTATAGCAGTTGCGGGATGACAATCCGCTATTTCTGATGCCTCCATGTTGAATCTTAATAAGAAATCCTGCAATGTTTCCCCCCTTTTCTGCCTTACGGTGAAGAGGCTGGCAATGCTTTTCTTTTGCTTTTTATTTTCGCAATACTGTGCCAGGAACATGGTGCATAGAGTTACGTAATCTGGGATGGATTTATGCGGTCTATTCCTGAACCACTCTAGTGCTGCTCCTGTCAAACTGATAGGAAAACTCTGCACATCCAAGGGTCATTACGATCATCCAAAGCCATCTTTTAAGCATAATGATCTAGGTGCTGAGAAGGATCCCCTGTTCCATCAAACTGGGTGAAAGAAGGCATGGTGAATTTCTTGGGCCTCTCTACCAGATACACATCGTCAGTGAAAGGAGTTTTGATCAAAGAATTTTTGTGTTCTCTAGCCATCTCGGCAGGTGTTTGAATCTTCAGGAGTCTCTTCTCGTCAAAGGCATCCTGAACACCTGCACCATCTGGGATTCCATTGGACCACACCGTAAGCTTATGGCTAGATTCGACCTGCTTATCCTGCGTGCGACGAGGGACGTTATCTGAAGCCGCAGCCTCGGATCTTGCCTTCCGTTGCTGCTGAACCTCATTGAGTTGTGCCCCATTAGGTGGAACTCCATCAGGAGGAAGTCCAGTAATCGGAGGAATATTCTGACTAGGGGGTGCTGCTGTGTCACCCACTGGTGGCGGTGGTACCAACTGAGCCAACGTCGTTTGTAGAGCGTTATTCTGCTGTTGAAGCATGACGATCTGAGCCACGCTTGCTTCGTTTGCCTGACGAAGTACGTCAAATTAGTGCAGAAATTCTTCACGCATCTTTTGCATCAACTCCGTCTGTTGATCTACTGAAGATCCTCCGTTCGACATTCTGGACGGTTAGCTGCAGGATTCACTTGTGAAACAAAAACAAGAATGGGAATATATTTGCACACGATTCGCACAGACGGCGCCAAAGTGTAAGTGCAAAATTCTACTCAACCAATAACAATTGAGAAAAATAATACAACACACTCAAGAACAGTAAAAATAAATAAAAACAGTATCTCGAGAAGCGTAGAATTGCTTGGATCCCTTTATTGGAGGTCTGTGCCTCTATTTATATACAAAAGTTAGAAGAATTATGGTAGGACTCGCGTTGCTTGTACTCTAATTCTTTCCATATATCAATTTCTTTACAAATAGAATTTTTTCCTTTTTATAATTCTTCCCTTTCCGGATTTTCCTTACATAGAACTTATTCCTTTGATGAATCTTTTTCCTTGTAGGACCGGTTCCTTCTTTAAATGAATTTGGGCCGCATCTAACTTGGTACACATGACTGCTGGTGTCTTGATTCGAGCTTTAGTAAAGCCCGTAGTTAGATAGCGGTAGTTTTGGGCTAATGACCAACTCAACTTGGGCTTCTGACGAAATGGGCTTTGACCTTTATTGAAGATAAAGTTATATATATGATGACGTGGATTGCTCTTATTGGTGGGAGATTTTTCCCTCCACAGCTATATTTCACAAACTATGAATGAGAAATTTAAACAAGATCCACCAGTGTCAAACCATTTTTGAGAGTTTATGGTAGGAGGTTATGTTAGTACAAGTACTTGAGTGCATATATATTATTTAATGGGTGACATTACTATATCAGCTTTCATGATGAAAAGAAAATAACGAGCGCAAATCTGAGTGTTAATTTGGACATTTTAATCTTAATCAACAACTGGTGATCGATCAAATGCTATTTGTAGGCACCAATGGTGGCATCGATCTCCTTCCTCTCGCCACTTTACAGGATTTAGGGGAAACTGCATGTATTTTACAGATGACAATTTTGGATTACAATATTCATATTTAATGGTCCAAAACCTTGTCATGAATTGGGGAGCGTTCAGCTTAGATAATGGAAGTATTAAATATTTCTTTCCAAATGACTCATATATGCCTCCTCCCGTCTGGTACATGCCAAGTCAATTCTAATGTTGATACAAGGAACTAGTTTTGTAGTGCTGTGTAAATCAGACAATAACTTCTTTCAGTAACAAAATGACATCTGTTAGTCAGAGAAGAAGATATATATATACACACACATAAATAAAGAAGAAGTTAGTTTATATTTAGCTAGTGAGAGTGGGTTTAATTTTGGGCATTTTAGTTGCTTAAAATGAGTTTTATAAGCAATTGAATCATTTTATATTTAAAATCTTTATTTTGTAAGTCCATCAAGTTATAAAGGTATTCATTTTATTTATAAAAACACATTTAAAAATTTTAAAAAATTTAAAATTGAGCGAAATACTCGAGCTAAAAATAAAATGCCCAGCTATTATTTCACATACTCTACGAAAATATCTTATTTTTATAATAATAATATCATCATACAACCGCGGCTGATTTAAGTTTTTCTCCCTCCTGACTCTATCCAACTTTATCCATTTTTAATACAGTAACTTTATCGTGATATGGCACACGGATTTTAATTTTTAAGCGTCAGATGATTTAGGACAATTTGGAAGTGGGTCCCACTGTTTATGGAGAAGCGTGGCATTGGCCAAACCCAGTACGGGGGCCATCTGTTTTTGAAAAATCAAATTTCAGATATGCCATGGAGTGGATGATGAAGCTGCTGCTGCCACCTCCATCGAAAAGGAACGAAGATTGGCACTTGACTAATAATACGATGGGCAGAGGAAGCAGTATTCGCCATCTGTCTTTCCATATTTGCTTTCACGTACAGTGTCCAAACCGCCTACTTCTGTCTCCGGTTGTCTTTATCCCAAACTCACAAATAGTAGTAGTAACAACCACCAACACGGCACCACGTCCCTCGTCTTCGCCTTTCTTTATAAACTTCAAACGCCACTTCCCCAAAATCACTACATACTCAAAACTCTCTCTCTTTCGAAGATATCGATCTCTTCTTCGATAGATATAGTAGTAGCAGTTGAAATCCATCAATGGCAACCCCGAAATTAGAGCGGATACCCAGTATGAGGGAGAGGGTCGAAGACACCCTCTGTGCTCACCGCAACGAACTTGTCGCTCTCCTCTCCAGGTTTCTCTTCTCTCTCTTTCTTAAACCACCACCCATTTTCCAACTCTTTGTTTGCTTTGAACTTGTCTCTCTCTTTCTCCAGGTTTGTTTGATTTTATTTGATTTTTTATTTTTTTTTGGTATACGTTCAAAGGTATGTGGCTCAGGGGAAGGGGATACTACAGCCCCATAACTTGATCGACGAGCTTGACAATATCATTGGCGATGAAATCTCAAGGCAAAAGCTCACTGATAGCCCCTTTAGCGAAATCTTAAAATCCGCCCAGGTCATTCATCTTTACTTTATCTACCCCTTTCTATTTATTACCTCATCAAATTGATTTTCAAGAAATATGTCTGCCTTGGTGGGGTTTATGTTTTCTTATGAAATTTTATGTACAAATTCATGTTTCGAGTTCATTTCATCATGTAGTAATCTGGATTAGATGACCATAGTTATTTATCTGATAAGTTCAAAAACTTGTTCCATTCTTATTTCTTTATTTATAATTTCTTCATGTTTTATCTTATTATAAACGCCATTTGTAACTCCATGAGTCTTGGTTATTAATTACATGATCTGATTCGGTAAGTCTTTTTGGTAACAACCGATATTTTTCAAATTCAAGTGATTTTTGGTTACTTATCAATATTATTTCTGTGATTTCTTTGTTATTGGTGGGTGATAGGAAGCCATAGTCCTGCCTCCATTTGTGGCTATCGCAGTTCGTCCTAGGCCTGGTGTTTGGGAATATGTGCGTGTTAATGTATATGAACTCAGTGTGGATCAGTTGACCGTTTCTGAGTATCTTCGCTTCAAAGAAGAACTTGTAGATGGGCAGTAAGTGATCGATTTTCCTATTGTTCAATTTATGGTAACCAGTAATTTATCCACTTAGCTTCTGCAGATAAATACTTCTTGAATATTTACCAGATTTAGCTTTTCAATGTGTTAGGGTGAATGACAATTACGTGCTCGAGCTTGATTTTGAGCCGTTTACTGCATCATTTCCTTTCCCAACCCGGTCTTCATCCATTGGCAATGGTGTTCAATTCCTCAACCGTCACCTCTCTTCGATCATGTTCCGCAACAGAGATTCTTTGGAGCCATTGCTTGATTTTCTTCGAGCCCACAAACATAAAGGGCATGTAAGTTCAATTACAAAGTGGCCTTGTAAGAAAATACTTGATGGTCATTATGCTACTACGCTTAGTTATGACATATGTTATAATTGAACTTTCACCCCTAAAATTTATTATTATCATTGAAGTACCATATTTTTAGTTAAGTAGCACTCTCTGTCCCTTGGTATCTGCTTGATGTCTAATTCGAACATTTCTCTAGATAAGAAAAATATAATGAAATAGCACTCTGTTGGGTGAGATGATCATGACAGGATCGAATTTGACAAGTATTGTGTGTAGGTGATGATGCTGAGCGATCGGATACAAAGCATATCTAGACTTCAGACTTCTTTGGTTAAGGCAGAGGATTATCTTCTTAAGCTACCACCAGATACACTCTATTCTGAGTTTGAATATAGGTAAGCTTATATATGTGTCCATCTGTTCCAAAGTCCTAATTTCCACACGTAGTGTTTAAGTGCTTAATATAATATATCAATTGCCACGTGCATCCAGTTTGCAAGGAATGGGTTTTGAAAGAGGCTGGGGTAGCACTGCAGAAAAGGTTTTGGAGATGATGCATCTCCTCTTGGAAATCCTTCAAGCTCCTGATCCTGCTACTTTAGAGACATTTCTTGGTAGAATACCAATGGTGTTTAATGTTGTGATTTTATCTGTACATGGATACTTTGGCCAAGCAAATGTTTTAGGCTTGCCTGACACTGGTGGCCAGGTACTGGCTTTTGAATTCTGCAATAAACCATACAAAATTGCAAATATGGATTTTCCATTTTCATTACTCTTTCTCTTGCCCTTATTGGCTATATTTTTCATTCATTCTCCGTGTTTAATGAATGGCAATTAGTACCGGTCACTAAATATCAATTGTTGATTCTTAATCATGAACTATTCTAAATGGAGAACTTACTAGATTTTTTATGTCGATGTGCAGGTTGTGTATATACTGGATCAAGTGCGTGCCCTGGAGAATGAAATGCTTATAAGAAAAAAGCAGCAAGGACTGGATGTCACTCCTAGGATTCTTATTGTGAGTGTAAATATTTTATTTTCAAGTAAACATCGTTAATATAAGTTATACCAATGGGCCAGTGGCCTATCGGTATCAGCCTCTTATTTCCCAAAGAGAGGTCCGAGGTTCAAGTATCAGAAGAGACGTGTGTGTGAGTACCAATTAGGAAAAAAATATATATATAAGTTATATCTAGTTCTTGATAGTCTGTTCAATTTACTCCACTTGGTTGTATGTGGTGCATAATTCTCATCATAAATCTAATATAGATTCACTGGTTGTTTAAGGTGACCCGATTAATCCCTGATGCAAAAGGTACTTCATGCAACCAGCGGCTGGAAAGAGTCAGTGGAACTCAGAACACACATATTTTGCGAGTTCCTTTTAGAACAGAGAAAGGAATTCTTCGTAAATGGATATCAAGGTTTGATATATGGCCTTATCTGGAGACATTTGCAGAGGTAAAAATCAATTTAGCAATTAAAATTTTATTACAGTTCTCTTATTGGGGTCAGAATAGAAGTTACTGATTATTCTAGTCATTTGTTTGTAGCGCTTTAAATCAAACTTCAACATGGGTTGTGACATACATCTTGGAAATTTCAGTATAAAACAAATTTGTTGCTCCTATGGGTAAAACAAGTATCAACACAACATCCGTTAACAGCTGCACACTGATTCAATGAGAAACTTCATTTTGTGCCTAGATATTGTTTTTATCATAATTCACAACTCTACCCAATTGACAAATGAATATTTGGAGAGAGAGACACCAGAAAGGGAGAGACATTGAGAGAGAGAGAATGGACTTGCAATACTTGTAATCAATTTATTGTTTCCACATTTACTGTGAGGTGCTGACCACTAGAATGATGATAGTAATAACTTCAGTCAAACCCATACCTAGTTTATTTAGCATTTCAACAATAATTCCAGAAGATTGAATATCAACATTGCAAGCCTCCTTCCCTACTACCCCAACATGACAAAGCCCACCACCACTATAAAATACCATGCTGTCAGGCCTTGTCATCTCACAACTACTTTCAGTTCCCCAGTGTAAGAAAACAGCCACTATAGGCTCACCACAAATACTGATTCAATCACCCCGTGCCACCGGTTATAATGTTGCCACCACCCACATGGCCACATCACCATCATTACTACTACACTTGTCAGTACTGCTGCACTAAAAAATTAACATGACTACCTTATACTCCTCATTAAACCACTACTATACCATTATTTTCATCACTATCATCATCTCATGCCTTACCATTCATGTTTTTCTTTTTAGTGGAAGGACAAGATTTACTATATTGATTAACAAGAGTACATTTAGGACAAATAGCGCTTCTTGTATCCTCCATAACTATTTGTTAAAAACTAGTATTGGAGACCAATCCTGACTTTTATGGGTTTAAATTTATTTATTTATTTTTTTCTTGCAAAGAACTCCCGTAATGCATTTGGGAAGACTTGAACCCTCTATCTTTCACTTTGAAAGGAGAGAAGATACCACTAGGGAGACTTGGTAATTTACTATTTTTTAGGCACCTAATAAATATGTCAAAAGGGGCATCCTAGCTTAATTGCTACCTTGCACCACCATTACCACCTCTTTCATCTCAAAATTAACACTGCACTTTGGTTATAAAGCAGGACATGCTTCCTTTTTTTTTTTTGCGTAATAATCTTTTGGGGTTGTGTTCTGTTATCAGGATTCTGCAAGTGAAATTGCTGCTGAGTTACAGGGTGTTCCAGATCTGATTATTGGGAATTACAGTGATGGGAATCTTGTTGCATCCTTATTAGCTCACAAGTTGGGTGTCACACAGGTCAGGAGTGATGCATGGTTTTCTCATTTTGCTAAGAAAGAGTTCATCAAATTATTTGTTGACAATAAATTTTTCGAATTTTGCAGTGCACCATTGCGCATGCCTTGGAGAAAACAAAATATCCAGATTCTGACATATACTGGAAAAAATTTGAGGATAAATACCACTTCTCATGTCAATTTACTGCTGACCTAATAGCCATGAATAATTCAGATTTTATAATAACCAGCACGTACCAAGAGATTGCTGGAACGTAAGCCTCTTTTTGCCATATTGACACACACACACACACACGCTGATGTGATATATTTTGTCACTGCTTTTAGTATGTTAAGGTTATCATGATTAGTGTCTATATGCTATAATTTAAACTGGGATCTCTTCAGTCATTGGACAACCATCAAAAATCTTAAAAACAATTTGAATTTGAAAATGGTACAAGTTGAATAATCGTTTAAGTAGTGCCATTGAATGTAATTGTGCTCATGCTGCATTAAGGTGTGTTGCTTGGTTTTTTTATTAACAAAATAATCCTATTATTACTAGAACTTGAGAGAATATAAAGTTGAAATGTAGTAAGAAAAACAGCGGCCTAGCACCATTTTTGTGTGCTAATGGAAACAAAGTATGGCTTGTTGAAGGCTATTGACACATTCAGGATTTTATTACTCCCATTGTCCCATAATAAGTGTGCTGCGTTCTTTTTTGGAAGACATAAATAATTGTCCACTTTCTTTTTTGAGATGTTTCAAATTTCAACTTCTCAAAACTGTCCTTATAAATTAGAGTTCTAAAAATTTATTTGCCAAGAATGGGTTGTGGCCTAAATCCAGAATAAGAACAAAAAAACACAATTTAGTAGGATCATACAAGCCTACATGATTCTATGATTCTATTTTGATCCTACTTTCAAGAGAATTTTTCATGTTGATCCAAATTAATTTAGTAATTTACAATTGCATGATAGTAAGATCCTTCGATACTGATCAGGATTTTTACAACCATGGATAAGCTACATGAATTCTTTCCCCCACAGTATAATACTAATTACTCCCTCTGTCCCATGGTCACCCTTATAAGGTTTTTAAGCATAGAGCCTAACACTTGAGTCTAATTAAACCCAAAAAAATAATAAAAATCAAAAACAAAAAACAAAGCAAAAAGCAGAGACCTAACGTCAAAGGTAGATATGATCCAGCTCCGAAGATATGACGCAAAACTTAAAAAAAAAAAATCCTCTATTTTGCTCTATTCTTAATTTTGTCTTTTTCAATACAAAAAACAGAGAGGTCTCAGTTTTCCAGCCTATTCTTTGCCCATTATGAACCAAAGAAAAAGAAATAGAGATTTTTTTCCCCATTGTCTTTAACTCTGTTTTGTTCTTCTAAACCAAAAAAAAATAGTCTCTTGCACTAAATTACTCAAATAATTGGCTAACGAAATTGTTCTTTTCTCGCTAACGAAATTGTTCTTTTCTCCCTCTATTTCTCCATTCCTTTTTTCTCTTTGTTTAGGTTTTGCTTCTTTGAAATTTTGCTTCACTGTTATGTTGATTTTTCGCATAAACGAAATGAAAAAAATGGTTTAAAGTGTTTGTCACGTGTCTTACAGTCTTACTATCTTGGTATCTTTTAATGTTTATTGATTTTTGCTAGAATGCTGATTATGTTGGTGTTTATCCTTATTCAATATTTATTTTGAAGATATTTCTATTTAGAAAGTTTAAGTTATTTTTGTTGTAGTATTATAAAATTACGATCCTGATCTTATGAATTCCTCCATCGATCCCACGTAGAATCCCGATCCTACTTATATTACTTTTATAGGATGTTTTTATAATTATATTCCGGACCCTCCATTGCTGCCAGTGAGTCACTAGTCAGTAGCTCTAGCAATACACTAATGCTTAATACTCGGTTTATGATTATTTTATTTTTCAGGAAGAACACTGTTGGTCAGTATGAGAGCCATACAGCTTTCACTCTTCCAGATCTATACAGAGTTGTTCATGGGGTTGATGTTTTCGATCCTAAGTTCAATATTGTCTCTCCCGGGGCAGATATGAGCATTTACTTTCCATACTTCGAGAAGGAAAAAAGACTGACAGCCCTTCATGGTTCAATTGAAGAGATGCTATATGGTCCTGAGCAGAATGACGAGCATATGTGAGTTGCTTCTTGACTCTACATTTTCTTTTACTTGTGCATTAATTTCAAAGAGGATCCAAATACAAACTCAATAAGTCTGCTCTTATTGTACAGCAAGCTATTACATGTTCAAAATCAATGCTCATGTTATAGAGCTTAGCAAGTCTGTAACTTGTACATTAAATACTTGCTGAGATAAAAATCTGTGCTCATACCATCATGAGTCTGCTCATATTATTTGACGTCTTATGTTACTTTCCTCCTTTTTTTTCGTTGTATGATTATCAGCTTATAAACTCCTCTGTCTGCCGTAAGCCTTGATTTTCCTTTTAAAACCCAAACTTTTGTCCTTTATTTATATCAACCTTAGGTCAGAAAATTAAAGCTATGGGTAAGAGTATTTGTGCCGATCTTCAATTTTCATGAGTTCCAGATAAAATATGAAATAACTTAGATAAATAGTTATATAGGTATGGATCAAAATTGCAATACAGTAATTTTCTCTCTTTCCTTTTTGGGCAAAGTTGTTGACATAAGTGATCTGCTGAAAGAGCTTTCTAATATAATCATATGTTTGACTTAATGCAGTGGTACACTAAGTGATAGATCGAAGCCCATACTCTTTTCCATGGCAAGGCTTGACCGAGTGAAGAACATCACGGGGCTGGTAGAGTGTTATGCTAAAAACAACAAGTTGAGGGAACTGGTAAATCTTGTTCTGGTAGCTGGTTACAATGACGTGAAGAAGTCCAATGACCGAGAAGAAATTGAAGAAATTGAGAAGATGCATGAACTTATGAAAAAATACAAATTGGAAGGCCAGTTACGGTGGATATCATCTCAAACAAATCGAGCACGTAACGGTGAGCTGTATCGCTACATAGGTGACACAAGAGGTGCTTTTGTGCAGGTATAAAGTGTGCATTGATTACTTATCTTAGTAATGACTTGTGCAATGTACTAACTTCCCTGTTCTTTTTCCTCCTCCGATTTTAGCCTGCATTTTATGAGGCATTTGGACTTACAGTGGTGGAGGCCATGACCTGTGGACTTCCAACATTTGCTACTTGTCATGGTGGCCCTATGGAGATTATTGAAGATGGTTTATCTGGGTTCCATATTGATCCATATCACCCTGAGAGAGTTGCTGCACGTTTAGTAGATTTTTTTCAACAGTGCAAGGAAGATCCCAGCTATTGGGAGAAAATTTCTGAAGCAGGGCTTCAAAGGATCCGTGAAAGGTTTGTCTTCATTGATGGAGTCCATACTTGCATCATTTGGTGAAGCTTTACTCTAACCTCTGTAACATTGTAGGTATACATGGAAGATTTACTCTGAAAGGCTGATGACATTGGCTGGAGTTTATGGTTTCTGGAAGTACGTTTCAAAACTGGAGAGGCGTGAAACCCGACGATATATTGAGATGTTCTACATTCTCAAGTACCGGGATTTGGTGAGTACTTCAACCTCTAGCTCTCTTTGTTCAAGAAGCCGTATAAACCACTAAAGAATGTATTAAAATATTTATTCTAATGACATAGCATAGATTGTATCATATATACTTGACACAATCAGCAACACTTCATAATGATATTAATGTTTAATGGAGCTTCAACACATGGGAAGGGGAAGATATTTCTTAAATTTTCTTACTTGCACTGTTTCAGGTAAAATCAGTTCCTCTGGCAATTGATGAAGCACACTAAAATCCTGGTGCTCGGGGAATATGTAATTAGAAAAGCCAGTGACCCTTTCCAGTAATTAAATAAGCTTAAGTTGTTGTTTATGGAAATGGAATATGATTGCAGTTACATGGATGGCAAATGGAATGGGCTCTTCCTCCAGGGCTTTGTATTTTAAATATTAAAAATGTCAATAAATGCCAGAAGCATCTTTATTGTAGTGAATGTATTGATCTACAGTGGTTTTGCAACCTTTTTAAGTAGTACTGTTAATGGGGAAGGGAAGTTGCTTGACCATTATATATATGGTATGTGAGGGAAATGAGAGTCCTCTTTGTCCCAGTCTTTTCGGTTCCTACATGGCTTTTCATAAGGAACATGTTATAGATTGTCCTTTATAATATGGTATATGTAAAGAGAGAGATGAAAGAACCTACTATATTGGAATATTTCTCTGGAACACAAGGACTTTTAAATGATCATCTCTTAAAAATACAACTTATTGTTTAATACTGCTACCAGCTGAATAAGGTGCATAATTAACGTTTGCCTTCAACTCAAATCTAGATAATATGGGATATTGGTAGCTGTCAGCCACTCGCCTCCTTGTATGAAATTCCCAACAGTAAACTGACTTGCCTCAGTTGTGTTGGTGATGACCCTGTAACCTGGCCAAGTCACTCTGGCACTTGTATTTGAACCTGGACCTCTATTCGAATACTCCCCATAGTAGAGGGTACTCAATGCAAAGTCACCGTCCCATTCCAACCACCCGGCCGGATCAACCAGGTCGCCAATATACGAAAGTAGATAAACTGTCCGGGAGTACTGTTTCCACGGCCGTCCGAGGTATGTTTTGAAGGATGATTGTACAGGAATCAAATCCGCAGCTGCAGCAACTTTGCAGTTGAGGATGGAAATCCCTGTGTTCTGATTGGGGTCCTCTCTTCCTTGAGCTGTGAAGATGTTTTTCTGGTTTGCATTGGGCATCCGGGCGTAGAGATTGCAGTTCTGGAAAACAACAGCTGCATTGCCGAAGATGAAGTCGATGGTTCCATAGATGTCGCATTCGCGGTAGAATTGTCGAAGCGAATGGACATAGAGGGTGTCTTGGTAGCCTACAAAGCTGCATTGGTAGAATGCTGAGAGGTCTGAGCCGCTCCTTAGGGCCACTGCTTGGTGTTTGATTGCCCCTGCGTAGTTTTCAAATGATATGCCTTTGGCTATGAACCCATTCCCTACCACCGCTGTAATTCAATCCATCATCATCATCAAAAGCATAAAAACCAAAACAGATTTAGATGCAGCAGCCAAAAAATAATAATAATCATATTAGGTGTATCAAAAGAATGAAAATTGAATAGATAACAAAACTTTCGTATGATTAATACGATTAAACATGAATAACCAAGTCGAGTCGTGGAACGCATTTGAGACTTTGTCACAATGGGTCGTGTGAGTGGGTCCATATCGTTGGATCATGCCGTGTGGGACCCAGATGGCACTGAATTATTTATAGGACTTTTTTTTTAGTGATTAAAGTGGAACAAACAGTGAGTCAAATCTCATTCTGACAAACTGTCCTTAAGACACGATCACGGGAATATTGCTGATCATAAATCAGATCCTACAAACGACGTCTGAAAAAAGTCAAATCTCATTCCGACAAACTGTCCATGAGACGCGATCACGGGACTAATGCTCAGAAATCAGATTCTACAAACGACGTCGGAGCAGCGTCAGTGTACAATATTATTTTTCCGGTAAATACTGCAATTATCAATTTTTTTTTTCTTTTTCTTTCCTCACTGTAATTACTACCTTTGTCTTAAAATAATTGTTTTAAAAAATGTGACTCAACTATTTTAAAACAGAGAAAGTATCATTTATTTCGGAAATTATCCTTCATCATAAATTGATATTGTTATAAGTGACCCAAAAAAAAAATGATAATAATAAAAATAAATAAATAAATGTGTATAATCATCTACCATGGCTGATGGGTCTCCCTCAATCATAATTTTAAATTAGTGAATTATTATTATTATATATCACATTTGTCACCAGTCGATGTAAAGATAGATTATTGTTATAGCAGGTAGAAGTATAAATCTATCACCACGTTATTGCAATTTTATTTGGAGTAGGCTAAAATGGTTGTGATGATTGTGTGGGCCTCAATGCCGGTCACGGGAAGAGCACTGACAAGGATTTTCATGTGCTATAGAATGAATACAAAAATGGTCTTATCAACAATGAATCTAGTTTTTTTGTTTTTTTTATCCGGTCAATGAACCTATAATTTAGAAATCTTAATTTCAAACTCAAAAGTAAAGGGTTGTTACGGCTTTCAATAAGCGCATTCAAAACTCATTATAATGTTGCCACCACCCAAATATATTTGAGCTTTATTATATTTTAATATTATCCAAATGAGTGGTGCTATTTATTTGCAGAATAATTACAGAAAGTCTCAAAATCAAATAAGTCTAATTAATGTTATGATAACATAGATTGATGTCATTATAACATTATTAATGATGTTATGTACTTCAAATCATTATGTTATTAGTGACATTTATAATTCAACAAGCTAACTTTTTTTTTTTTGAACAACAAGCTAACTCACAAGGCTTGTTAAATGATTCATTTGGATTATTTAGCATGCCTTTGTTATAAATTAATACTCCGTACTAATCTTAATAGTAACCACCAAATGGTCTGCCTAAATGGTACAAGTAGTAAATAGTGGCTATATACATGAGCTTTAAAGAACAGTGTTTTTTAATTTTTATTTTTAATTTTTTGGTGTGTAAAAACAGAGGGATAATGTCGAAACTCACCGACAGTAGCAGACCGGAAAGTAGTCCAACCATCGACGACGCTCCGATTACCCTTCACCCACGTCTTTCCGATCCCGTCTCCGACGAACATCAGCATCCTCTTATTGCTATCCAACTCCACATTCTCAAAATAAGCTCCTGCTTTTATATATATCACAAACCTCGTCACACTCTTGTTCGGCGCCGCCGCCACCGCCTCTCCAATCGTCGTAAAGTTCCCACTCCCATCCTTCGCCACCACCAAATTATACTTGGTCGCATTCACCGCCGTCTGCAACAGCCTCCGATCAATCCGCGTCAGCCACGTTGGAAACCCATCTTTCAGCTTCCCATACTCCGGGAACACTCCGTCAACCAACGACGACGACGCATTGACCGCGGTGATTTTCTTGAGCATGGCTAGAGAATTACTAACGTGACGAGAGATGTTAAACAATCGATCTTGAATAAAGTCACGCACATTTGCCTCACTGTAAGCGAAGCCATCGAGACAAGTGTACTGATTGGTCATTGCAGCACTGAGTAGCGTTTGCAAGTCATGGTAGTGGGTGGAAGGAGATTTCCTGGAGAGATCGGAGATGGCGGTGTTGAGCTCGGAAATGGTGTAGTGAAAGAGGTCAACACAGTCGTCGAGGGCTCGCTTGTCGAGTGGGGCCAGGTGGAGGCGGAGTTTCTTGCGGATGTCAGTGCAGTTGGTGGCGGAAGCTCGGACATCCCCAACGGTGTTGTTCACGACTTGGGAAATGATTTGTGGGAGTGTTTTTTTGTGGAGATCTGGGAATGTGGAGAGTGTTGATACGCAGAGGTCTGGGTAGAGAGTGCCTTCGCATGCTGAGTGTGCAATTTTTAATTGGATGTGTTTGTGGATGTGTATGTGTTGTTGGGTTTGGCTTTTCTTTAAGGTTAGTGAAGAGAGTGTGAACAAGGCAAGGACTAAAATTGGTAAGAGTACAAGCAAGATTTTGCTTCTTTTTCTGCTGGAACTAGACATGGTTAGAGAGAGAAAGTTGAAGGTTGTAGAATTTGGGAGTAGAGGGTTGCATTATATAGGGGTATATGTGGTTGATGGGAATTGAACGGAGTAATGGGTTGGATAGGAATTTTTTTTTTTTAAATTTTAGTCTTTGGATCTCTCACACTAGGCAAATAGTGTATGAGAAAAAGTTGGAACTCTATGGAAATGTTGGGCGTGATGGCAGTCAGACATTGTACTTTAAAATGGTTGGGAAGACGTGCCTTGAAATGAATGTCGGTGCAGGACTGGTATAGCAATTTAAAACGCATTACAACTGTATACTATACTACTACGTACTACTCCGTATTTAATGTAAGAAAAGTGCATTTCTGAAAGTCACACACACACACACACACATATATATATATATTTATTTAATAAACCACACATAGAAGTTAGAAGTGTATAAACCCTCGTGATTGTATCAAGAAAACTAGATCCTCATCTCACTATTTATCTTCTACTTATGGCTCAATCAATAGGTTGGCTTTACTCTCTTTGTTATGTGTACAACAGTACAAGTGCTTATATATATATATATATATATATATATTTATTTATTTATTTATTTATATATTTAGAGAGAGCTAGAATGTAAGTTGTAGTAGTGCATATATGGTTTAAAAAAATAAAGTCAAACCTTGGTGGTAGAAATTAATTAAGCTAAATGCATCCTAATTTTAACTATTATCAAGTACTTGGAAGGTATTAAAGTTACTTTGAATGTAGATCTGTGATGTTTTTAATTCACACATGCATGGAGACCTTGTAATTAATATGCTTCAGAAATGTGCTAGTAAAATGCAAAAGTACACAATTTTCGATCATATGTCACCTTCACATTTAATTTCCTTTATACAGAGTAAAAGGATAAGTACTAAACAAATAAATATTTTAGTGAGAGTATTGGGCAGACAAGTTGAGATGTTCTGAACCTCCTCTTAAAAAGGGTGTTATGAGACTAGACTAGTGCTTCCATACAATCTATTACCCTATGTTCTAATTTCATGGTGCTCTGTATTGTAGTAATATAGTAATATATTCAGCCAAGGACTGAGGTTTCTATACTATCTAGTGGCTTATTTGGTTTTTAACTTTGACAAATTTTTTTTTAAAATTTAGAAATTAGGAAACTGTTCTCAGAGAACAATTTTTATAATTCTTTGAATATAAACATTTTTATAATTGAGTTTTGAAAACAATTTTTTGAAAATTGAGTTTTAAAAACAGTTTTCTAAAAACTGAACCAAACAAAGTTTTTTTGTACTGTTTTCTATTTTCAACTTTCTAATAATAAAAAACTGTTTCCATAGTTAAATCAAGAAGGCCCATTATCTATGTTTATTAGTTTTTTTTTTTTTTTTTTTTTTTTTAAATAACTCACGCATCCATTTTGTCCCAATTCTCAACCTTTGAAGAAGATGATGCTAAGGTACAAATTTTTATGTATTTTCATGTGCATTGAGTCAGCCAATTACTTAAAATAAAACTCTTATGAATTTTGAAAGTTAACTATATGCTTCTTTCGTTTCAAAATAAATGTCCACTTTGAAAACTGAGACTCAAAAAATTATAAGTTACAGTTTCCAAAATGAACATCTATTTTGAAATGAAAAGAATATAATTTATTGAAATGGATAGTGCACTCACACATAGGGAAGGCAAAATTTGACACGACCCACCAATATGACTCGAATACGACACAAGTTAAGTGGGTTTGGGTTGACCTTAAATGAATTCGGGTCGTAAACGAATCGGCATGACTAACCTGTTTAATTAATCGTGTCGTATTTAGGTTGAGAGGTTCAACCCATGTAACCCGTTTATACACGTTTAACTATAAATTTTATAAGTAAATTTCTATTTAAGTTCAAAAATTACTATCTAAATTAATGTCTTATAATTTATTCTTTTGTAAACTAGAGATTATTTAGTAATGGACAATACTTAGCTACTCACTGGTGAGTAGGGTGAAGTTACTTACCCCTATGTGATTCAATAACAGAATAACACATCACCTTTAATAATAAAATAATTCACATCTTTCTCTACTTTTTCGAATCAACCATTGAATAAACGTATATAGTGTTTTTAGGTGTGAATTATTTTATTATTAAATGTGATGTGTTATTTTATTATTAGATCACATAAGGGTGAGTAGTTTCACCTTACTCACCATTGAGTAGCTAAACATTATCCTTTAATAATTTGATTGAATTGAAACTTATATTTTTCTAGTATTTTTTGTTTATTGAGTATTATTAATAATTTAAATAATATAATGTTTTATTTTTGTAAATAAGTCATTAAACTAGTAATACGTGTAATATGTTTAGTAAATAGTTTGCGTTAGTATTAAAAATTATTGACACTATTATTAAACGAATCGTGTTCAAATTGAACTATTTAATATTCCATTCGTCCCAAAATAAGTGCCATGTTTTTTTTTTTTTATCTGTCCCAAAATAATAATGCACTTTTCTTTTTCAAATAATATATTTTTCATGTTTTCATATATCTCCTTTGAGTTAAAAATTTAAAATTTAAAAATTTAAAATTTAAAAGAGTAAGGTAATAATTTTTCAGACAAACAATATATATCTCACATATCATTTTAAAATTTAATACTTTTTACAAGTGATACTTAAATTAAAACAAAAGAAAAAAATATTCTTAAGTTAACATAACACGAATGCGACCACGAATTCCCCCCCCCCCCGGGCGGCTACTTACACAGCTCACTTGAATGGTTATTGCTGATACTGAAAGGGCTATCATGGGGTTTAGACTTTTATGTGCAGGCCCAATAATGCTGCGGCTCACATGGCATACTTTACGTGAGTTCCACGCTTACGTTATGTCTGATTTGAAGAAAGGATTGTGGAGGGATATGTGATTATGATTGGGGGATAAAAAGAACTTTTTCTGTAGAGGAAAGGAAAGAGAGAGAGAGAGAGAGAGAACTTTTTCTGTAGAGGAAAGGAGAGAGAGAGAGAGAGAGAGAGAGAGAGAGAGAGGGGAAGCAAGGAATGGATGGCACATTCCTTCTAGTTTTATTCTTCTATTCGTACATGCGGAAAGAAAAAGAGAGGAAAAGAGACACATTCCTTCTAGTTTTATACCTTCTATTCGTACATGCGGAAAAAAAGACACAGAAAGAATGTATAATTACCAAAAATATGTAATTTTTATTTTTAACTTTTCAAAAATTTGAAATGAATATTAAATTTTTATAATTTTATATAATGAGGGTATGTTGATAAAAAAAGAACAAAAAAAACTCTCTTCTTATTTTCAACCAAAAACAAAATGTCACCTATCCATTTTTTCTATTATTCACTTTATCCAACCAAATAAAAAATAAAGAAGATTGCCAATGATCTCCCATTCATCTATCCATGTCCTCTTTCCATCAATTTTTTTATATTTCCAACCAAACAGGGTACTTAGTAAATTTTGTAATGATTTAAAATTTTCAATTAGATTGCCAATGTGGTTCGGGTATAGAGAAAAATGTTAATAAGTGCACGGCAGGTTAAATTAAATAGAAGGGCTTATCCATCTTTGTACATGAAATATAGGTAGGGTAATCAATTTTGTATATGATATTTAATTGTTTTTAAATTTTTTTTTAATAATAATAATTTAATTATAAATATCAAATATTCAATGCCATCAAAATATTTGTAAAAGGGAAATATACAAAAGAAAGAACAAAATTATTTCCTCATAAAAACATTTCATGAGTATGAGCTGCCTTGATGGCATTTATTTGCGTGGTCCGTGTGGATGATCCATGTGGATTAAAACACTCTCAAATTTTGTATGCTTTCGAAGTGCTTGATCACCGCATGATTTATGTACTTAAATTTAATTATAATATTTGAAGCATACTGATGAGGAGACTCCACTTTTTGGAATCCTATGAGATTTGCCAGGACTTTAATAATTTAAGAGATCCTCTGTCTCATTTACTGAGGAAGAAGGCTTTAAATGCTGATTGTAGTGATTTGAAGTGGACTATTTAGCCCAAGTGGTTCCTAAATGCTATCCTCTCTTATTGTAGTTCTCATTTTTCATAATGTTAAGATTTGGTTTGGTGCCAAAAATAAAAAATAAATAAATAAATAAATAATTCAACATGTTAGTGGGATATATCAACCAAATTAAAGTTTCAATATTAACTTGGAAACTTACCCTAGCAACTGTGAAATCTGACTACCAATGATCTTATCCATTAGATGTCATCACCTACCAAATCATATTCACTCACACACCTTTAATCCATCTCCCAAATACCTATTGGTATGAATCGATGTGTTTGTGGCTCAAAATTTGTGCGTAGAAAATTAGTTTTCTTTTTCTTTTTGGAAGCTACGAGAAATAGTTTCCTGATTGGTTTTAGAATCCAAAAGACTTAGGGAAAAAGGCTAAAAACTTGGGAAAGAAGTTATACCTACTATTTTAGAGTTTAAGATGGATATGGTAATTCCTTGTAGGTAAGTTGATCGTTGTCCAACAAGGAATTGGATTTGAGGAATACTTATCCAACAAGGAATTGAGTTATAAAGACTCTATAAATAGAGATGGGTACGAGGGGTTTAGAGAGAGATAGAAGAGAGAAAAGATGTAAGGGGTTTAAGGGTGAGTGTTGTGAGAAGAGGGGAAAGTATATGTAATTCCCGAGTGTATACATGTAGTCTTAAAAGAGATGATGAGTGAGTGAGTGGGGTTTTGACATGTAGTTGTATATTCTCTTTCTTGATTCATAATAGTGAAATCTCTTTCTCCCATGGACGTAACCCTAGAGTTGGGTGAACCATGTAAAATATTGTGTTGTGCGTGGATGTGTATGATTGTTATCTCTATATATGCTTGTATTAATGTGATGTGATGATGCTTCCGCTGTGTGTGATGAAGGAAGGATTTAACTCTCAACAACAGCCGATTGTTGAGTGGGTTGGAGGAAGTTGATTAATCCCCAATAACTAGTATCAGAGCCGATGGTGGGTCAGAGCCTGTGATTGGTCCTGAAGATCAGTAGAAGAAGATTGCTGCGAAATTTGTCAAAGCAGAGGCTGATAGTGAGGTGCTATGGAGATTCAATCAAAGTTGATGATGACACAAAGGTATGAAGAAGGTGATAGCGTGAAGCCCATGAGGAACAAGTCTTATGACAAGCCAAAGGATGCTCGTTTTCAAGATGGGGCAAAGATGATGGAGGTGAAACCCACGAGGAGCAAGTTTTGAGGACAAGTCAAGAGTGGGTGCTAGTTCTCAAGATGGGGCAAGGGGTGTGAAGAATGAAGGGGTTTGCTTTAAGCCCAATAAAGAGTAAAGGGGAATATGATGAGTGAAGATGAGAGGTTTGTTACTTTGATCCAGAAAAGCAATTGATGAAGATGAGTTTGAAGATTGGTGGGTTGTTATGCATCAGCAATTGAACACCAATGAGATGGATAGAGAAGATAGAGAAAAGAAGAATGATGAAATTTGAGAAAAGGTGGAGATTGTTAGAGTGTTTCTCAAGTTCATTATAGTGCTTTATTTGAGGTGGAGAAATTTTCAGTTGAGGTGGAGCTATGAAGAGATTCTTGTTCAAGGTGGAGTTATGGAGAAGCACGTGAAGATTGAATTTTGAGCCAAGGTGGAGATTGTTGGGTTTGTGGCTCAAAATTTGTGCGCAGAAAATTAGTTTTTTTTTTTTTTTTGGAAGTTACGAGAAACAGTTTCCTGATTGGTTTTGGAATCCAGAAGACTTGGGAAAAAGGCTAAAGATTTGGCAAAGAAGTTATACCCACTATTTTAGAGTTGAAGATGGATATGGTAACTCCTTGTAGGTAAGTTGATCCTTGTCCAACAAGGAATTGGATTTGAGGAATACTTGTCCAATAAGGAATTGAATTTTGAAGACTATATAAATAGAGATGGGTATGAGGGGTTTAGAGAGAGAGAAAAGAAAAAATATGTAAGGGGTTTAAGGGTGAGTGTTGTGAGGAGAGGGGCGAGTATATGTAATTCCCGAGTATATACATGTAGCCTCAAAAGAGATGATGAATGAGTGAGTGGGATTTTGACATGTGATTGTATATTCTCTTCCTTGATTCATAATAGTAAAATCTGTCTCTCCCATGGACGTAACCCTAGAGTTGAGTAAATAATATAAAATATTGTGTTGTGCGTGGATGTGTATGATTGTTATCTCTATACATGCTTGTGTTAATGTGATGTGATGATACTTCCGTTCTGTGTAATGAATGAGGAATTTAACTCTCAACAACAGTCGACCGTTGAGTGGGTTGGAGGAAGTTGAATAATGCCCAACATAATATTCCCAAGCACTCTTTTTATTTATTTTATGGCTAGTCATACAAGATAAGCTCCTCACTCAAGAGAAGTCCTCTGTTCACTTCACAATGCAACTAAATGTGTGCGCCATGTATTTCAATGTAGCAGAAAGCTATGAACATATTTTTTTTATCAGCGTCCCAACTCTAAAATCATTCGGAATTGATTACCAAAATCATTCCGAATGGATTATTGGATAAGTGTGGATTCTATACAAACCCTAAATTTTTTAATTTGGCATCATCAAATTGGAAACAAATAATCGAAATTATGTAGGGTATTGACTTGGAAACTTACCCTAGCAAGCAAGTAGTAGAGGATGCAATTGTTGATTTTGTAGGCCTCTTCTCTATCAAAAGGATGCATATGTCCTTTTGTGAAGACTATGGCCAATGACTGAAATATCCCTAATTCCTTCTATGACCCTTCCCATGCCTTTCTGGTTTTGTTGATGGTTTCCGACCCGCAGGTATGTGGTTGTTAGATAGTTATTTGGAAGATGGACCTGGGTTGGGCGGGGTTTGACTTGGGGCCTTTGTTTTATGGGTTGTTTTCTTTTAATTTCCGAATTTGCCTCCTGTTCTAACATTTGGGCCCCTATGTTCTCATGTAGCAAAAATGCAATTGGGCTTTTTGGGTTTTTATGTTTGGGCCATGGGATAACATATGTATATTCTTTCTACTTTAATTCACATATATATTTTTTTTTTCGCTTTTCTCAACAAAAAAATATTGTTTATTGTTGTGACAATGTGACGCTTAAATTGGTATTTATAACTTAGGAATCAATTTTGTTTACAACCCAAGATGGGGTCAGTAATTTAAGTCCATTAAGTAAAGAGAATTAAATTGATCCCTAACTAATTTTTAAAAGAGAAAATTAAACCTATGTCATAACTCGCATAAGGAACGCTTCTATCTACCGTCTTTGCTACAAATTAATACTAGTACTAATAAACACAACCAACAATTCATAAAATATCACCAACACCTTATAATAAGAAGCTAAATAAAGTGATAAGCTTTAAACAACAATTAATTTTGTAAAAAAAGAGGAATAATGTGGAAACTCACCCATGGTAGCAGACTGGAAAGTTGTCCACCCATCAACCACGCTCCGATTGCCCTTCACCCACGTCTTTCCGATCCCGTCTCCGACGAACATCAGCATCGTCTTCTTCCTCTCCACCTCCACATTCTCGAAATAAGCTCCCTCTTTTATATATATCACAAATCTCGTCTCACTCTTACTGGGTGCCGCCGCCACCGCCTCTCCGATGGTCGTAAAGTTCCCAGTCCCGTCCTTGGCCACCACCAAATCATACCAAGTCGCATTCACCGGCGTCTGTAAAAGCCTCCGATCAATCCGGGTCAGCCACGTCGGAAAACCACCTTCCAACTTCCCATACTCCGGGAACACTCCGTCATCGGACGTATTGACTCCGGGGATTTTGTTGAGCATAGCTAGAGAATTACTCACGTGACGAGAGATGTTAAACAATCGATCTTGAATATAGTCGCGCACATTTGCTTGACTGTAAGCGAAGCCATCGAGACAAGTGTACTGATTGGTCATTGCAGCACTAAGTAGTGTCTGTATATCGTGGTAGTGCTCGGAAGGATATTTCCTGGAGAGATCGGAGAGGGCGATTCTGAGCTCGGAAACGGTGTGGTTGAATAGCTGGAGACAGTCTTGGAGGGCTCGCTTGTCGAGTGGGGCCAAGCGGTGGCGGAGGTGCTTGCGGATGACAGTGCATGTCTTGAAGGAGGCTCGGACGTCGTGGACGGCGTGTTTCACGACGTGGGAGATCATTTGTGGGACTGTTCTTTTGTGGAGATCTGGGAATGTGGAGAGTGTTGATATGCAGAGTTGTGGATAGAGTGTGCCTTCACACGTTGAGTGTGCCATTTTTATTTGGATGTGTTTGTGAATGTGTATGTGTTGTTGGGTTGAGTTGTTTATGACCAAAATTAGTGAAGAGAGTGTGAATAATACAAGGAATGAAATTGGTAATACTATAAGCAAGATCTTACTTACTTGTTTGGAAGAAGTATACATGGTTAGACAGAGAAAGAGAGAGTGATTTGAAGGTTGTAGGAGTGGAGAGTACTGAGGGGAGGGTTATATGGGTAAAGCTGGTGGATAGGAATTGAATGGAGTAATGGGTGCTTTAAAATGATTGGTATAGCAATTTAAAACCCATTACTATTTAATATTAATTATTATAATATATGAAAAATGTACATGTGAAAACTAGATCCACCACCTTTCACTATATATATATACGCTCAATCAATGGGTTGGCTTTACTCTCTGTGTTATGTGTAATATTAAAGAGAGCTAGCATGTCGGCTGTGGTAGTGGTTTAGAAAAAATGAAGTCAAAATTCTCGGGTAGAAATTAATTAAGCTAACATGGAGAACCTTGTCATCTCAGTGCAAATGCAATAATTTTAAAGTTGGAAGGTAATAATAAATATGATGTTGAATAAATAGTCTAGCAATGATGTTTAATTCATCACATGCCTTGTAATTAATTTGCTTCAGAAAGGTCCTAGTGAAGTGCAAAAACGACACACTTTTTCATCAGACGGCACATTCACATTTAATCACCATTATAAACAGTCAATGAGATCAAAGTACTAAACATGTACTAAATTTAAGTGAGTATTGGGAAGTTCGCAAGTGAGACGTTGTGAGCAACCTGTTAAAAGGCGCGCAAATCTTGGTATGAGGCTTGTATTGGGCTTTTACTACAATCCATCTATTAATCTATGTGTCTAATTTCATGGTGCTTTGCATTATGAATATTATATAGTTCGCTCTTGAGCCCAGGACTCGACACTATATATATATATATATCATGGGTTTCCGTACAATCTTTAATTGCCTATGCTTATTTTAGTGTCACGATGCCGTGTAATCTGCTATGCTCCACTTAAGCCAAGGTCCTGAAACCAGCTCATGAAGTAGTCTGTCTGAAATGTACGCCATGTCATGAGATCATGCGAGCTGAGTTGTATCAATTTGAGACGTGACAAACATATCTAGCTAACCAGGGCTGAATTATTAAAACTTTGGTTTTGAGGTTTCATAACTATAATAAAAGGTAATTTAGAATCAGCTAATATAGGATATAATATGGGTTGGAAACTGATTTTAATATATATATTTTTATTTCAAATAATTCACACATTCACTGTACAATTAAATCCTCAAGCTACAATTTTTTACGCTATTTTCAGGTGGACTGCTGATATTAAAAAGGCTATTATGTTATGTGCTGGCCCAATAATGTTGTGGGCTACTGTTACAGGGCTAAATCACACCACAAATTTTTGCCTCTGTAATGGCACTTGGGGCCACCAAGTCTCAGCCAACACACAACACAATACACATAATACTGAAATGTAAAGAAGGCACACACAGTTTACAGGGACAAGCCCCAACCTTTGCTCATATTAAACATATTACAAAGGATACCAAACTCGTACAAGGAACCAAGGCTCAACACTCACTGTGTCTCTCCCAAACCATGCCCCTTGCATCCCAATTATCTACATATAGATACACACAATTAAGGTTGACATGCCCAACCTTCTAGGCAACTGCCCACAATCTCATCCCACTTAAGGTTGACATGCCCAACCTTCTAAGCAACTGCCTCACAATCTGATCCCACTAAGTCTAGCAGTTTCTTCCCCTAACTGCTTGCTTATCTGTGACATACTCAATTGGACAACCCCTAGTTGCTAGGAACTGCCCTAAACCGCTATAAGACATACAACATATCTATATATCTTATCATAACTGAATATAAGCCACAAGACATATTTATGAAACAACTGACCATAAGCCACTCAACATATCTGAACTGCTCCCCCATGTCTTTTCTTGATTGGATCATTCCTTGATAAGCACACCTGCTGCCTACCAAGTAATATGTGGGTGCCATGGCCTTAGCCATGGTCTACGAGCTATCTTGAGTCAAGCTCACAAATCCGAACCCAAATATAAATGTCTCTGAGTGCACGGCGTGCTAAGCCATGCACGCCCGTGTGCACGTCCTAGTATGAACCCGGATGCACGCCGATGCGCATGCTAGTGCTCATCAACGCGCGCCATGCTTGAACGCCCGTGTGCACGTGGCTGCACGCCCAAGCGCACACCGTGCTAGACGCCTGCCCGCGCACCCATCAAGTCCTTCATTAGTTTGGATGCTCCCATCTTGTGCCCTCTTATGCAACCATCTTGGAGTGGGGCAACATGTGCCCATGCACGTTGGCTAAGCCCTCTAAGCAAACCATGCCATAACCCAACTGATGTACTCAACAGACCCCCCTAGTATAGTCTTAAGGAAAATCAGCACTCTAATAAGAGTAAACATCACCTATGCTTGAGGAGTCATAATGGCCTTTTAGGCCCTTCCCAACATCCAAATTGAGTGCCGTCTACACCAACCATCTTCTATGGACTCAAGGTATTTCCCATAAAGATCTCTAGCCAAAACTCAAAAGTTCACTTTTTGCCATATTTACGAAAATGCCACTGGGCACCCCCAGTGCACGCCGAACATCCTTCTAAACACCCTGTGTGCACGCTAAGCATCCTGTGCACACTGACAACCCACTAAGCATCCTCGTGGCTGTCTAACCAGAGCCAAAGTGTTCCCAAGACATGGCATGACCCTGAATGCCTATGTCTTCCCTTGGACCAATGTCAAGGGGTTAACAAACCACCCCCACCAGAAGAAGTCAACGCCCTCGTCGACTTGTCCAAGTACTCATTTACCTGTTTATCAAACTGCCACAATGTCACATCCCTTTCCCAACTCGCCTCTGCTTCACTGCATCCTTTCTACTGCACCAAGTAATCAGTTCTGCAATTTTTCTTACTCTGACCTTGGGTCCGGTGAGACAATATCTTCTCTACCTCCTTGTTAAACTGCAATTGAATAACAGGTGGGGCTCTCTTAGCCTGCTGTCTTGATGTATCTGCAGTGTCCTCATGAAAAGGCTTGAGGAAACTCACATGAAAAGTAGGACGGACTTTCAGTCTCTCAGATAACTGTAATCTTTAAGCAACATTCCCCACTTTCTTCACAACTTCAAAGGGACCATCATACTTCTAAACCAGCCCTCTGTGAACAGTTTTGCTGCTTATCTTTTTCCAAATCTGTGGAGTCAACTTCAACAGAACCTTGTCTCCCACTTGGAACTCTAATGGCCTTTTCCCTTTATCTGCATACTTCTTCATCCTTCTAGCAGCCTTGGCAAGGCTGTCTTGTGCTTCTTCCACCATCTCTTGCATGAAACGGGCATACCTGTATGCTGCAGGGCATCTTTCACCAGTCTTCTGCACTGCCACCTCCTGTAGTGTGCAAGGTTGTTGCCCCATTGCCAACTCAAAGGGACTCATTCCAGTTACTGAAGACCTGTGCAAATTATAAGAAAATTGTGTAGTATCTAGCAACTCCAGCCAATTTTTCTGACTTACAGTGACATAGTGCCTCAGGTACTCTTCCAATAACTAATTCATCCTTTCAGTCTGTCCGTCAGTCTGAAGATGGTTTGTTGTGGAGAACTTCAGTTCAGAACCCATTAAACCAAATAACACTGTCCAAAACCTTCCCGAAAACCTGGTGTCACGATTACTAACAATATCCTCGGGCAAGCCAAAATATTTCACCACAAACTTATGAAACAAACCAGCTGCAACTTCTGCTGGGCATACGTGTGATGCAACAATAAAAATTGAATACTTAGAGAATCTATCTACTACAACAAAAATAGATCTCATACCTTCCACTTTAGGAAAACCAGAAATGAAGTCCATTGAAACTGATTGCCATGGACACTCTGGTATAGGCAAGGGTTGCAGTAGCCCTGCCTCCTTATTCCTTTCATGCTTGTCTTTCTGACAGACCAAGCAAGTCTTGACATACAACTCTATGTCATCCTCTATCTTGGGCCAGTAGTATGATCTGGATATCAACACCAGCATTCTATCCACCCCTGGATGTCCAGCCCACTGAGGATCATGCATCTCCCGCATTAATTCCCGTCTCAAACCTCCAACAGGAACATATAATCTACCTCTTCTGGCATGGAGTAGATCATCTTCAATCCAGTACTTCCTGACTTCAGCATCAACAACCTGTTGTTTAAGTTTCTGATAGGCATTGTCGAACTGGGATTGTTCTTTGATTTAGTCAAGGAAATCAGTATACACTGTTGTAAGCGATGCCACATACTCCTGCACTTCTTTCTTACTCAAAGCATCAGCAACCTGATTCTGTTTTCCAGGCCTGTGAACCCACACAAAGTTAAACTCTGTGATACCCCTGGATTTCTGGATGTGGGTTGGCCAGGCCCACACCCGATTATCTGAGGATATCAAACCAATTAGTAATAAACAAACACAGAATACAATTAAGATAAACAGGAATAAATAAAACTGCTGAAAAGAAACTAAGAAGATAATCTAAAACTAAAACCTCAAAATAAAATTTTATAAATAAAAAAATTATTCTGATACATCCAACTTCTCCATTTTTAATACAACTTGGGAATCCATCTGGTGGACCCCTAACAAAAACTAACACTGGAAAACGAACAATCAAAAAGAAGTCCAATGTTAAACTATGAAGAAACCTCCTACGTCGTCGGTAGAATGAGTAGCCGTCTCTGCTCAGCACAAACAAGGTCTAAAACCTGGAACCGTCCGTTACCTGAAAAATAATAGTGGGTCAGGCCCACGAACAAGTTCTATCCTAACAACAATCCAAACAAAGACCCGATACGCAGATACATCCTAGATGTCTCAACCATAGCTATATAGTCCGTAAATAGATATATATCCACACTACAGGATTCTCGCTAGATTATGATGAGGGTCTCAACCTGAATAGAAGACAACATGCAAAATGCACCTGAGTGGGCATGACTACTTAAGCCTAACAGAGTATACCTCAACCAACATAGCCAGCTACGCATCCTACTGCATATACGCTCCTAAACCGTTGACTGTGAGACTCAAGCTCAGATCGCGGTACCATAATTATATATATAATTTCCATCC